CTGGTAACTATGGGGTTAATAAAGAGCAGAAGGGGCATTGGGGGTAAAGCCCAGGAAAGAAAGAGGAAGAAAACATTTGACCTTCACATTAATTGGATAATGTGAGATATGACGGCTAATTTAGGGAGGGAACATGCTGATAATTTAACTGCTCAGAGGAAGAGAACTTAGATCCTACCATCCCTCCGTTGTGCCTGTGCCGACATTTTGTAACAATAAAAGACTTTTAGGAAAATAAATGCCTGGAAGTTCTTTGGAATGTTTCATTAGCTGGAACCACATCACTTGAGCCAAAACGGATATAAAGAGCAAGTGGGGAAGTGTTGTGCCCTAAGAGACTTGAAGTGTCAGCATGCATTGAGTAAATCCTTGTCTTTGATCACATCATTGCCAGCCTTATCTCCCAGGTATTATAGATGCTTGTTTTGTCAAAACATGCATCAGTGAGGAAAATTTTACTTTAATAGCAATGTGACTTCAGGCCACCTGTTTAGCAAGTGGGATGAAGAAGTGGACATTTCCTTTAATGAGGATCAGCAAGATATCTCCAATTCATGAATAGATGGAAGTAAGAATGAGCCCATAGATTGAGTAACTCAGAAATTGAAGTCCCAGGTTAATTGAAAAGATCAGCAGTTTTGCATTTTCTAAACCAAAGGATATTTCAAACACTTATTCTTTAAACCATTACTCATTTTCTAATACAGTTCTTTACTTATCATAGTGATGAAGAAGTCTAAATATTTTTATTAAGGATCTTCAATTCTGTTGCTGAAGAGATAGTGAAGCTTTGTGCGTGTGTGTTTTAATTAACCCAAGTAGATTAATGTGTTTACAAAAAGCTTCTTTTGTGCGGATTTGCATCAAATATTGTCACAGAAAGGTAACAGAGATTCATGATTTGGAGGGGTGGTTTTTAAAGGCCTTTTGTCTGAAAAGGTTAAAAAGGGGGGAATCAGTAACTTTAATGAAAAGCAGAACATAGGGTGTGGGTAATTAGTAAATTTTTGTTCGAGCAATATAAGCCTCATGTCAAAATAGAGTTGATCTATCATAAAACTAAAGAGAGATTGGATCTGCTTCTATAGAACTAGCTAAAGTAGATTCATTTACCAGGGCATTGAGCCACCTTCCATTGGGCAAAGTGAACAAGAAGCTTTTAAACTACAGAGACAAAATAAAAATTCCCCTTATTGAGATGACCCAGCTGCACATCAAGCTTTTCACTGTCTTCCTGATTTGCCTTCTCAAATAAATAAACGTGGTTGAAGGGTCTATAGGAACAAAATAGAATAATGTATTCTTTGGAGAATGAAAATTGCGTCAAGGAGTTAGTTGTTTATGTAATAAGGTAAGATGTTCCTTTGTATATTAACATCCTTCTCATCCCACAAACTTAAGGAAATTGGGTAAGAAGGAAAGGGAGAAAGAGCCTGCTTGTGTAATATGTCATTTATAACAGCAAATGGGGCAATATACCATCAAAGAAGAATCGTTTGAATAAACAGTGCGTGGGCACATTTACCGACTAATAGTCACCATTTATAAAAAAAATTGGCAAATACAAGTTTGTGGGAGTTTTGCATTTGGATTGCATGAACACACTTAATAATATATTGCTGGTCCTTTACCAAAATAATGGTAGTTTTCCAACCTACTTCATTCAGCAGATTCTACTTTGAAAAAGAATGCCTTGTTTGAAAAAGATGGTACATTTTTTTATATCTTCCCTATTTTTGGATGCATTTTTCAGGTGTTACTATTGTTTTGTAGTTAGGCAACAGCATGTGTTCATATTTAACAATTAGGATAGCTGTGGATATTTTTTCATTTGTGTGTACAGCAGAAAGAACAGTAAGCAAAGTTTGATGTACTTGTGTTTTTGTGCAGGAGGTAAGAATCATTTAGAATTTCTTGATAACTCTTTTCTTTCACTTACTAGCTTGTGATGTTTCTGTGCCTTTTTACAGTAAATCTAAGCAAATATATTTAGAGAGGAAGGATGGATGGGTGAGTGGGTGGGTGGATGGATGGATGGACTAATTTGCAAAGTCAGATGAATGGCATAAAGTCATTGGGTGTTTCTGTATTTATTTATTTTGATCAGATCCCACAATGTGTGTATTATCATGATGCAAATTGGTAAAGAGGACTATTTAAACATGATACATTTCAGTCCTCATAATTTATGGTCCAGATCATTTGTGGATTAGTCCAAAGGAATTCATTTCATACCATTTAATATCACATTTTGATATATTTTGCTTGCACTATATTCTCTTTTATGCCAAGTATTATGTATTAAGGATCTAATGACTTAAACTTAACATCAATCCTTTCTTTTTTCTACTTTCTACTTTGAACACTCTCTTTTGTGTCATTATTTCTTTCTGTTTTATAGCTCATGTTGTCTTTAATGAAACAAAAAAAGTTTCAAATGATATTTTCAAATGAGTTCATCCATATTCTATGACATTTCTTATATGTTCTTTCATAAATCTGAATTTAAATATTACACATACAATACACATGCATAGTAGATTCATGTTATTTTAGTATGCAGTTTTCTCTTAACATTTACATCTTTATTATTAGAATTGATGGTTCATAATTAATTAAACAAAATCAGACCAATACTAAAGTATGTTAACATATATTTCAGTCTATATGATGATGACATCTTTAAAGTGAAGAGTTTCTTAAGGCAGAATTTGCAGCTCTTGTTTTCTTTCTTAACAAGTTATTGTTGATCACTTCTTTCCGTTAAGTCAATAAAAGTTATTGTTAATGAGACTAATTTTGGTCTCTTCGATTCTGAAATTTGAAAGTGCTTTTTCTTTGCTCAGTCTCTTGTCAAACCAAGAATCATCAGAGATATTTCAACAATTTCTGATTCCTTGCTTCTCACATATCCAATTTTTCACCAAAAAAATCTCCATAAAGTGCTATAATATACTAAAAAGTTAAAAAACTATTTATAGACATTTTTCAGATTCTTGTAAGTGGTTTATATATTATACATATGTCCAGTGTAAGAATTTTTTACATCCTCCCTAAATAGAGAGAAAAATTAAAATATATTTAAAGATATTTCTCATTAACAAAAAAATATGGTATTGACACTGATTTTTTTTCTTTCAGTATTTGTTAAAAAAAATTAACGATGTGTTTTCGTATATTAAATTGCAATATGCTTTATAGAGAAACAGTATTCTGTGTTCCAGTTATTTTTAAAAACCAATACAGAAGTTTAACAATTTAAACTGGAAACAGACTATTGAATTTAACAGTTTTAATAGCTTTTCAGTAATTGATGATTAAAGGTATTTTAAAACAAGTAATATTGTTTATATTTTGTTTATATTTTAAAGGACTTACCATTGCCCACCATAGTAATTTTATTTCAAAATAAATATACCATATATTACTAATAAAGCATTACAAATTGTATTCAAATATTCTCTTCTAAACAGAAAACATCTTCTATTTACTGGCAAACCATTTTCTTCCAAGTGAAGTGTAAGGAAGAAGAAAATTATTTCAAATACAAAAAGGGTTTTCTGTTTGTACAACTTTTTGTGCAAGATGTTTTTATTGAATTCTAGAAGACAAAGGTTGAAACTTGGAAATGTCTTACATGTCATTTATGCCATATCATAAAATAACTCTGGATACATTGTGGTCACTCATCACACAGCATTCTGCTAGTACTTGTGCAAGAATTCATGAATGGTATGAACACATTTCTTCCTTTTCGTTTTTAAGATCCAGTTATAGTGAATTCCCATTAGGCCGCAAATCAGATTTTAAGTGGTACGGTATGCCTGTATAAAATCCCCTTCTGAAATTCTATGATACTATATTGAGTTACATGTTTATTAATTTGTTTTTAGCTATGCCTGAATATGCTGTACTGCACTTAAAATACATGAGCACTTTGATGTTTAAAGCCATCAGTTTTTTTTTCTTGCACTATATGATTTGCTTTGTTTTTTTATTTTATTTTTTATTTATTTATTTTAGATTTAGAGGTAATCTAGAAAGTAAAAAAAGAGAAACTCTTTGTTTCTTTTTTATTCTAGTCCAAGTATGAAAAAGAACTGAAAAAATAGTATATTATCATAGATTAATGTTTTATTTCTTTATCAAGCTTGGGAAGATTGCAACTAGAAATTATTTGAGCTCATAATGTATAGCTCATAAAGAGAGAGTCAACCTGTTCTCCAAAGCACCCGAAGGCAGGACAAGAAGCAACGGATGGAAACTAATTAAGGAAAGAAGCAACCTAGAACTAAGGAGAAATTTCCTGACATTGAGAACAATTAATCAGTGGAACAACCTGACTCCAGAATCTGTGAATGCTCCAACACTGGAAGTTTTTAAGAAGAGACTGGATAGCCATTTGTCTGAGATGGTATAAAGTTTCCTGCCTGAGCAGGAGGCTGGACTAGACGACTTCCAACCCTATTATTATTATTATTATTATTAGTAGTAGTAGTAGTAGTAGTAGTAGTAGTAGTAGTAATCATCACACAGTCAGCCAGATGTTCAGACTGGATTTGGCATTTTGTCTACCTATCGAGTCCTTACCAAGGACCTGGGATAGGCAGATGTGGATGTTTGATGGTATTACAGATATCGTTGTGGGATGGAATTATTACTATTATTATTATTATTGTTAGTGTTAGTGTTATTATTTATACCCCTTTAATAGTAAACTATCTTAAACCAGTTAAGATGATTTGTAAGTCAGGTGTTTGTGTTATTTATGCCCTCAGGGGGAAACTGTTTCCTACGGAAGGTGGGCATTATCCTGCCACAATTAAGCATGTTTAAACACAGAGATGTCATGAATAGAAATACACACTGAATGGAGCAAAAATGCACTGTCCTACATAAATTGTTTGTAACATATTCCAATAATCAGCTGCATGCTCCATTTTAATACTGTTTTCTTTATTTTTTTTCTTTTTCTTTTATTTTCTTTCTTTTTTTTATAGAGGTTGAAAGCAGCTTTGACTCATATTCCTGCGGGCATCTCCAATGGAAATATGAACACCGTGGGTCATATGATGGAAATGATGAGTTCTCGACAAGACCAACCAGCCCACCATCATATGCACTCACATCCACATCAACACCAGACCCTTCCACCCCATCATCCGTACCCCCATCAGCATCAGCACCCAGTACACCATCCTCATCCTCATCACCAGCACCAGCACCATCATTCTCATTCACATCTTCAGGCACACCCAGCACATCATCAGACTTCGCCACATCCGCCACTGCATACAGATGGCCAAGCACAGGTAGAGCTTTCTAACCTTTCTTATGTGAAGATGGATATTAAAAATAAGAGTTTGTTGTGGCTTTTTTTTTTTTGCAGATTTAATTCTCCTGCATCATTTTTGTAATTTTGATTTTGCCAAGTCAAGAAAGAAAAGCATATATTATAGGTCTTGAGTAGTTTACCAGAGGATTCTGATTAGGCAATATTACCTGACAGACAGACAGACAGTCAGATGGATAGATTTTTCCTTATTTCAGTAATAATAATAATACACACACACACACACAGAGAGAGAGAGAGAGAGAGAGAGACTATAGATATCTTTTTGTCATTCTTCTCATACATAGGACTTGAAACAAATAGTCATAGAACTTCCGCAGTAAATCTGGAGATGGTTTCCAATGTCAGGTGCCCCTTCCACTGGAAAATTTCTCTTTCTCATTTTCTCTCACCTTGGGTGCGTTTCTTTCTCAGTACCATAGGACTGCACTCTTTTTTTTTTTAATTGAAAATTTTTAAAATTTTTTACAAAAAAGTTCCCTTCCCCGAATCCTCCCAACCCACCCCAACCCTCCCCCAACCTTCCCAAAGCTGAATACAGGCTTGATTAAAATTTAAAAGAAAAAATTTTAAACACAAATAAACCATATACAAATTTGGTTACAATAATTAAACAAATCATAAAATACTTTAACACCAATATTTAAAAAACAGAAAGAGAAAAAGAAAAGAAACAAGAAAAAGAAGAAGAAAGAGAAAAAAAATTAGAAAAAGAAAAAAATATATATCTAAAAAATATCTTAAACTTTAAATATAAATTATTCAAAAGCTAAATAATATTTTTATATCATACTTGTATTGTATAAAATTTATCCATCTTTTCCATACCAAAAGGTACTTCTCTTGCGATTGATCTTTCAAGAAAGCCGAAATCTTTGCCATTTCTGCTAAGTAAGAAACTTTAAGAAACCATTCTTGCAAAGTAGGCAAAGATTCTTTCTTCCAACATTGCCCTACTAACAACCTAGCCGCTGTAATTAGATTTAACATTACTATAGTTTCTTTACTGTCACAATCAGAAACAATACCCAACAAAAACAATTGTGGAGTAAATTTTATCCTTCTTTTAAAAATTCTTTGAATATTCCACCATATCTTAATCCAAAAAGCTTTTATGTTTTTGCATAACCACCAAATATGATAATATGTGGCGTCCAAGCAACCACATCTCCAACATTTAGGCTGCAAGTTTGAATACATACGAGACATTTTTTGTGGATCAAGGTGCCATCTATAAAACATTTTATAAAAGTTTTCCCGTAAATTTTGGGCTTGTGTAAATTTGACATTTCTCACCCAAATAATCTCCCAAGTATCTAATGGAACCAATTCATCAAAATTTTGTGCCCATTTAACCATACAATCTTTAACTAGTTCTGCTTCTGAATCCAATTCCACTAACACCCATAAATTCTTTTGATATGGGTTCGTCTTTGATCTTTTATTTGTTTTAACAAATTCTCATCCTCTCTGAGCAAACCCACCTTGCAATCTATCTTCCACCTTTCCAATAATTGTCTATACTGAAACCATGAATAAATGATATTTTCTTGTATTAAATCTTCCATAGATTTTACCTGCCAATTTTTACCATCCCATTTAAGTAATTGTATATAAGAGATACTATCCATCTTAACTCCTCTCCTTATCCCTTCTATCGCATGCCATGGGATAGCCCATAATGGAATTCTAGAGTCACTTCTGTAATATTTCTTCCAAACCCAAAGTAAGGAAGTTCTTAAAATATGACACTTAAAAACCCTATCAACCTTTTTATTAAAAATTAAATAGGCATGCCATCCAAAAAGTAAATCCCATCCCTCCAAAAGGAGTACATCTACATTAGTTAAATTAACCCAGTCACTAATTAATGTTAACACCACAGCATCATAATACAATTTCAGGTTCGGTACCTTGAGCATAGGACTGCACTCTTAAAATGATGAAGGTGTGAGCTCTTTTATTTGATTTTACATTTTTCTATTTAAGAATGCCATTTTTGTACCATATTTTGACAAAGAACCTTGAGTTATTTTTCCATATTGTAAAGCTATACTGAATGCTTTATGTAGCAGAATTATTTATTGTAGGTTAAATTGTATGTTTCCCACTACATATTTGCATTTTTGCTATGGATAATCACTACCAGCAGTTTGCTGCTCCATTAATGGTGCAGAAGTTCAAGTGTTCATTGCTACAAAATTTCTTTCAGTGCAGTGAGTGCTGACTTTGTGAGTGCTGACTTTGTATGCAATTTGTTTTTTATGTATCATAACAATCCACATGTCCAAGACTATGTTAACAATGTGATGGAGTTTTTTGTAGTTGTTTTTAAAGAGCTTGTGGAAATATAAATGATTTCCCTCTCCACATTATCCACTTGCTTGATTATTCTTTTTCTTGCTCCTTTGCTACAAGAAAAAAAAAACTAATTAAAATGTTGATAGATTGCATATATATGTACAGTATTATGCATTTAAAATATAGATTTATCCTTTCAGTGTGGTATAATAATTAGTTGATTATCTGCCACATGTATAACATCCAAAGGCTCAAAATGAACAAAAGAAAGCAAAGGCTCAGAACGAACAAAGACTTGCAACAGAAATCAAGAATAATAAAAAAAAGTTTATTCTAACACATTAACAAGAAAGACGTCAAGGAAACTGTAGGTCCACTAAAGAGAGAAGATGGCAAGGAAATAGCAGACAACAGGGAGAAAGCAGAGCTGCTTAATTCATAATTGCAAAAAGAAACTATAGCCCAACATACCATTTCAAAAGACAAACTAGAAACAAAAAATAAAATAAGCAAGAAAATGGTAAGAAAATGGTAAATGGTAAGAGAACACCTTGACAAGTATAAATCACCGGGACACAACAGAGTTCTGAAGGAGCTGGCAGATGTTATCTCAGAACCATTACACCACATCTTTCATAAATTCTGGAGCACTGGGGAAGTACCTGAGGATTGGAAAAGGGCTGATGTAGTTCCCATCTTCAAAAAAGGGAAAAAAAAGGACCCAGGAAACAACAGACCAATCATTTTAACATCAATACCTGGGGAAAGATAATAAAAAACCAGATCTATGAAGAACTAGAAGCAAACAAAGTTATATCTAGTAACCAGCAAGGGTTTGTTAAAAACAGATCATGCCAAACCAATCTTATTTCATTCTTCGATAAAGTGACTAAACTAGTAGTCCAGCAAAATGGCGTGGATGTAGTATACTTAGACTTCAGTAAGGCATTTGATAAAATAGACCACAACCTACTCCTTGGTAAGCTAGAAAAAGATGGACATCACCACAACATCACCACCAGATGGATCTGTAGCTGGTTGGCAAACTGTACTCAACAAGTAGTCCTCAAAGGCACTACATCCAGATGAAGAGAAGTAAGCAGTGGGTTACCACAAGGTTCTGTCTTGGGCCCAGTACTCTTCAATATCTTCATAAATGACTTAGATGAGAGAATTGAAGGGAAACTCATCAAATTTGCAGATGACACCAAACTGACTGGAGTAGCCAACACCCCAGAAGACAAATTTAGGATCCAAAAAGATCTTGACAAACTTGAACAATGAGCCCTATCCAACAAAATGAGTGTCAATGTGGACAAAAGCAAAGTTTTACGTTTAGTACAGATTGACTGAGACCTGGCTCAAAAACAGTAACTGTGAGAGGGACCTTGGCATCCTAGTGGACAATCACTTGACTATGAGCCAGCAGTGTGCAGCAATTACCAAAACAGCTAATACAATCCGGTTTTATAAAGAGAGGCATAGAATCAAGATCACCCGAAGTATTAGTACCACTTTATGAAACCCTAGTAAGATCACACCTGGAATACTGCAGCCAATTTTGGTCACCATATCACAAAAAAGATGTTGAGAGTTTGGAAAAAATTCAGAAAAGAGCAGCTAAGATGATCCAAGGCCTGGAGACTAAAACATATGAAGAACAGCTGTGGGACTTGGATTTGGCTAGTCTAAAGAAAAGAAGAAATAGGAGAGCCATGATAGCAATATTCCACCAAGAAGGGGAGGTCATGTTATTCACCAAAGCACCAGAGGGAAGAACAAGAAACAATGGCTGGAAACTGATCAAAGAGAGAAGCAACCTGGAATTAAGGAGAAACTTCCTGAAAGAGAGGACAAATAACCTGTGGAACAGCTTGCCTCCAGAAATCGTGGGTGCTCCCTCACTGGAGATTTTTAAGAAGAGGCTAGACAATCACTTGTCTGAGATAGTAAAGGTTCTCCTGCTTGAGCATGGGGCTGGACAGAAGATCTCCAAGGTCTGTTCTGATCTTTCAGCTCTGTTCTTTTCTATTCATAGTAAGTAATATTTAGGTCTGAAGTTAAGACTAGGAATTTTCTTTACTTCTCATTCACTACCCTTCATTCTACCACAGAGATGGGAAACGATGGCCTCTTTATTACTTGTGGACTTCAACTGGCTCAGGATTTCTGGAAGTTAAAGTCCACAAGTCATAAAAGGGCCATCATTCTCCATCCCTGCTCTACAGTATGACTCTTTAAAACAGTTGAATCTGTATGGAACTGAATTTAAATTATTTTCCTAGAGTTTAAATGGACCTATATACATTTGCAATTGCAGATTTGATAGTAGCAGGTATGTCTTCCTCAGCTGTTCACACTGAAACAATTGTTATTACTTCTTAGATAAAAAACATCTTTGTGATATAACACTCACACTTTAGCAAATGAAGCAAGAGAAGAAATAGCCTGCTTTCAGAATGTTGAGAGTGATTCCCCCCCCTCCCTCAAAAACATTGTGCTTAGAGGATAAATGGCGATTTTAAGATCTATAGGTCAGCTAGACAACAGAACAGTTTCAGTTCCTCATGGGAATGCAAAAGTAATGACACTTTTGAAGAGGGCATTGCCTGGGATAAAAGATGGTTTGAGTGAGTAATAAACATAAGGTTATTACTTTCCAAACCCATATATAATTCCCCTCAGTACTGGCCCCTTTAAGGTCAGACTGCTTCAACAGACACATTAATCTTATGGTACAGTTTACTAATTATTAACCAACTCTATGTATTGAACCAAATTCTTAATTTTCATGGTTCATGTCAAATCCAAAGCTTGTTGCTAGGAGTCACATTTCCCTTTTGCCATAATTTTGATTATGTTATGCCACATCCCTGTATTAAATTTCAAACTTTTCAACAGCCAGCGGAAACCTAATGAATTATCTTTTATAAATGAATGACTAAAAATGTAAGGGTGTAAAGAATAAAAGAAACATAACAGATTCAGGAATCAAGACAAAATCCAATTTTTACTAGACCCCTTTTCTTTTGCTGCTTTGTATGAAATGGATTAACTCACATATTACATACATTTGTAATTACATCAAATGGATTCTTAGGGCTCTAGGAATTTTTTAGCATTACATTTTGTTTATGAAAATGTTTATTATAATTAAGTCTCAAGTATTCATGATTTTGTAATATCAAATTTAAAAATATATAGTATCTGAGAAATATAATAGAACTTAATAACTCCATTCTATGATTTTCCTAGTAGTTTTTTTTTTTAAAGTAACAATTCTACCTTACTTAATTTATTTCAACTTCGTCCTGCCAACATTTCAAGGTTAGACTCAGAAGGAAAAATATAGAAATTAATTGTAATTAACACTTAATAACATTTGTTCCTTGGAAAAGGAGCTACTGGTTTTTTTGCTACTATAGACTAACGTAGCTTTTATCCTACAGTGAGAAGCACAAAACGTAGAATATATTTAGAATTTCCAAATTGTTTCTGTCCAAATATTGGAAAAATGCAAGATTGGATTTCATCTGCTTAATTTGAAAATACTACATCAATCTTTTGTTTGTTTGTTTTAACTATCTTTCAAATTAACATATTTCCAGTAATCTCTACATATTTTAATTATTTTCTGCTCAGTTAACTTGGAGCAAAGCTGCTAAAAGGCAGAAGCGATTGTTTTGTCTCTATAAGAGAAAATTAATTTAAAAGTGATAATAGAAACAGCATTTATAATTTTAAGTATAAATGTAGAAAGGTGTTGAAATATACACATTTATTTATTTATTGTGCAAATATTTAGTGACTCCAAAAATGTTGCTTGATAGTTTAAAACAGACCTTTAAATTCTTTACATTTCAGATAAGTAAATATCAGTATTTTATTATAGATATCTGGCTTTACTCAGCCTCAGCTTTTCATGTCAATATGGCTTATAGACGTGGGGAACACATCATGTATTCCTTTGAGCATGATTATATACCTGAGTTCACATGTGAAATGAAGTGTTCTTGTAAGTATTTCTAAGTCTGCGGGAAAGCAGGCTGCCTCTTTAAGTCCTCTCCTGGACAGCACATTAACCTTAGCTATAAAACTGTGCTGAGGCAGTTAGGCAGTAGTAGTGCTACTACATGGAGGAACCAGAAGAAGAAAAGGTGGAAAAAGAAGTAATAGAAGAAGAAGGAGGAGGTGGTGGTGGTAGTAGTAGTAGTAGTGTGTGTGTAAGTAAAGCAGCTTGAAATAGTCTGAAATAGTTAAAGAGATAATTATTCTCTAGCTGTACTTACAAGGAGTAGGAGTACTCACAAGGAGAATAGTAACAGTGGAGTAGTGGTATGTAATGAGTAATTGTGAATGCTTGTGTGAGTATTGTTTGGAGCCTTGTGTTGTGTTGGCTCTTTTGTACTTAAACTCACCAAATTGGGTTTAATTAAAAGAACTTGTGACAACCACATAGTTTGATCTTGGCTTCTTAATCTGGTTGCTTAGTTTATCAGATACTCATAGTCTAGAGGTGCCCTACATAGTGTTATTAGGATTTACTGTTTGTCAATAGCTGGAAGCTAAACAGCTTATGAAAGTTTACATGACACTATAAATCCACCAACATCATCTCCTACCATTTTAAGGTAGGATAAATATCCCACAAGTATATCTACAACATACTAAAGTTTATTATCGGAGTTGTAACCAGATTTAGAATAGGCCTATTTTATTTCAAAATTAAAATAAAATTCTGTAGTGAAAAATCCATCATGATGGCTTTCAATTTTAAACATATTTATAAAATGATTTGCTCAAACCTCTTGCTTTAGTCTTTCTGTTTACGCTAAACTAGAAAGCCATATTTTATTAATTCATATACTTATATATATCCAAAATAAAATGAACACCAAGGTATTGATTAAAACTATAAAAGTTTAATTTAAAAACGCCAAGCTTTTTTGGATTTCATCTGCTAGATAGACAAAGATGGGGAGAGATCATTAGACCTGACACCTCACCGATGCTCAGAAAGAAACAGGATGACCCATTTGAGGGGAAAGAAGCGATCCCCCCACTCCGCATCGTCAGCTGGCTCAAAAACATATGGAGTGCGGGGCGACACCGAGCATGACAGCAAGCTTGCGGACGCTCCGGAAAGCAAGGAGGAAAATGAGTCCTGACGGAGAGGTGCGTGAGAGCTAATGAGATCAGCTCGCTGCGTCTTGTGCCGACAACACCCCTGGACTCCAAAGACTCCTGTCATGCACGCGCAGGAGCGAGAGGCGTCGGAATGAGGAGAAGAATAGGGAAGGAGCATTGTGATGCTCAGGAAGATCGCAACTCCACCCCCCCCCCCAGATCAAGACCTCGGATTGTGGTATACGCGATGGGAGCACAGAGAATAAAAAGGAAGGGAAGTGTGTGATGGCCAAAGATAATTATAACCATGAGATCACCCCCATAGAAAAACAATCCATTGAGCCACTCCAGCCAGTCTGGAACATTGTGCACGACCATTCTAATGACAGTTGGGCATGAGGGAGGGGCATTAAGGATGAAAAGAAAGATACTCATAGAGAAAGTGACTGGGTGAAGCGTGATTGGAGAAAGGAAAAGGACAAATGCAAACTACCACTCGAACCCGAAAGGGGGAATGGATTGAGGGATAGAGACAATCGAAGAGAAAAGGGGTTTACATCACCTGCCTTAGAATCCAAAGAAAAGAAGGTAGATGAAGATACACACGCAGCTAGGAAGGACAGAAAGAAACGAACCACCGGAGCACAATTTAACCAATTGGGTCCGGTGACGAGATCGAGGAGCCGAGTGCAGACTCCGGCCTGCCTATAAAATGACTCTCCCACACCCTGGCGGTCCAGCCCTGATGATGCCGGCAGGTGACGGCGAAAGCTTGGAGTTTTTAAATTAAACTTTTATAGTTTTAATCAATACCTTGGTGTTCATTTTATTTTGGATATGAATATTCCCAGGGTTCATATTTTTAGTGTTATTAACTATATATATATTATATATATAATATTATTATTCTACATGTGAATAGATAAACTAAAATTATGATATTTTCATTGAGAAAGCATACACATAGAGGAATGTAGCAATTCATGTTTATCATCTTCATATAAATTCATTCCCACTTTTCTCCCAAATACGTAAATGGAAGAAGAATTTCATTTCATGTTCAGCTTTTAATCTGCTTCAGTTTTATATTTACTTGATATTCAAATACCTAACATAGAGCATATACATTGGGCATAGTCTTACAATAGCTGTCTAAGCAAAGCCGATGCTCAGTATAAAGGAAAAATAAAAGCTGAATTTTGAATCAAGTTAACTCTGATTCCTGATCGTTACGTCCATGGTTTTGGATTTTCTTTTTCTTTTTTGCAAAATTTGGAAGAAAATGCTTTTTTCCAGGATTATTACTTTTTTTAAAAGCCTTTCAGTCAATATACGTATTTAGAATTTCCTGGTAATTTCCCCTTTAAGTACTAACTATGTCCAGCAATGCTTAACATTTTTGGGAATTGGCCAAGGCTGGCTGGGAGAAAGGAGAAATGCATGACTTTAAATCGTGAACAAAATTAAAGGTCCCAGGATTCTTTCCTTGTCTGATTAATACTAGGTGTCATAACATTTGAAATGATTCACACTTGAACTGAATGCTCTCTTTGCTGCACTGAAATGAACTGAAAATATTTTTAATAAGATGGAGCAGCGCACTCCCACAACACAGTCCCAAAAGGCCAACTTCTGCTTCCTGCAAAGTGTTAGACCAAGAATAATTTAAGGATATCTTGTGAAGTCTCAGAATTTCTACCATTTATCAGTTTGTTCAAGGAGGAATGCCATTTATCTTTTTCTGCTGGTCTTCTAGTGTCATGACTTTTCTGGTTATTTAATTAAAAAGTTATGATTCTTATTAGGTATCAGCAGCAGCTCAACAAATGCAAGCCACACAGAGCCTACAACCACCACAGCCCTCTGGCGGTCGTCGAAGACGAGTAGTGGATGAAGATCCAGATGAAAGACGGAGAAAATTTCTGGAACGAAATCGAGCAGCTGCCACACGGTGCAGACAGAAGAGGAAAGTTTGGGTGATGTCACTGGAAAAGAAAGCAGAAGAACTCACCCAGACAAATATGCAACTTCAGGTACAGATTACCATAAAGACACCGAGGATATAGTCATTTTCATGCCAGCAAAACCTTAAAAAAGAAAACTTATACTGAGTTGCATTATATTATACTTCTAGTGGAAAAACAATGAATCTGATCTGATCAAATGTAATGTTTAATTTGCAAAAAAAAAATTAACCAAGGATTTTAAAATCCAAAAATTACCTGAAAGTGTTTTTATTTTATTTTATTTTTATTTTATACAAGTACAAAGACTTACAGTCAACAGCATGAAGCAATCTCTTCATTAGGACTGAAATAATTATTTAAAAATAGTAAGAGATAATATTTTTTCTCCATTAGCCCTGAAGCATATTACAGGAAGTCTTTGACTCATGACCACAACTGAGCCCAAAATTTCTGATGCTAAATAAAACAGCTGTTAAATGAGTATTGTCCTATTTTATGACCCTTGTTGCCACAGTTGTTAAGTGAATCACTACAATTGTTAAGTTAATATCATGGTTGTTAAGTGAATCTGGCTTCCAATTGATTTTGCTTGTCAGAAAGGTGATCCCATGACCCTGGTACACTGCCACCATCATAAACATGAGACAGTTGCCAAGCATATGAATTTTGATCATGTGATCATGGGCATGCTGCAACTGTCATAAGTATGAAAAATGGTCATAGGTCACTTTTTTCAGTGCCATTGTAACTTGCAATAACAATAAATGAATTGTTGGAAGTCAAGGACCACTTGTATTTGACTCACTAGCTACTAAAAGATACTTTATAGTCCTTGTCCCTTCAAACATGGCCTAAGTTGTTTAATTCATTGAAATTTAGATCTCATTGGAGATACATATATATGGTATCTAGTATAAACCTCTGTAAGTACAGTTGATGGCATTTGGGGAGCAGGATTATGGGTAAAGAGCATACCATCTTCATTCTCTGCCCATGCATTTCTGGAGATAAAAATAAGCTGTATCAAAAGCCTGGTCTTGAAACATCTTGTCACACCAATTCCATTTGGATTAATGTAAATAATTAGAGTTATTGCTGTTGACCTTTTAACACAAGAGGAAGACCGTGTATATAGACTTACCTTGATTATACGTTTTCTTAACTTCCTGGTAAATTGAAGTTCCTGCATAACTGGACATAATAAATGTGTTTATATTTTTTATATGTAAAAAAATGGTTGTCAAATCATTGGCCTCAAGAACGGCTAAACATAATAATGGCAGCTTAACAGGAAATCTAAATTAGAATGCTCTGAATATTTGGGGTGTAAAGGCATATCTATCTATCTATCTATCTATCTATCTATCTATCTATCGTTGTTCAGTGCATTTTTTTTCTTCAAAAGTACTTTGTACAGTATGACATCACTGATGAGTAAATTAAGCTTTGGCAATTTGTGTATGTGTGTGTGTGTGTGTGTGTGTGTGTATAGTCTTTTCTGAATGAGTGGATGGACATAAACTTCAACAAAGGTAAACTGGCTTATGAATTTTTAGGGATATTATTACTCAAGACAGGAATATCTATCAGCCATCTTTATTTCCATCTTTAATTAATTCTGTCTGACTTTCCTGAGTTGTACTTTACAGATAAATATATTTTCGGGCCATTCAACTTGTTCTTTGTAGCTCTTTTTTTAAAGCAATTAAAACATGTTTTAACTCTTAATTTTTATGCTTTGTGAACAGCATATGTGGGGTGGGGGGTGAACTTTCTTGAGTCTGATCCCCAAAGCTTTCCAAACGCTAGTATGCCATTGTAACAGGAGAACAATATTATTCAGTGCAGGGGCGGATCTTTAAATGTAACAAAAAAAAAAATTCATTTAAACCTACCCATTTGACAAAGCGCAGCCTCTGGAACACCAACCAAAAAGTAATCTGAACAGGAATCCATAACTTTAAAATTTTAAACAGCCACTTTCACGTATTGAATTTGACCTAAAGGACAAAGTAGGATGGTTGTGATTAAAGAAAATGTATTTCTTTGCTGTGCCATTTCAGTAGTACAATTTAGTATGTCTGCAGGAGTATCTGTCAAAGTTTGCAAGTTGATGGACATGCATCACATTCAAAGCTGTACCCACTTGTACGTACATGCATGCTACATGTATACAAAATGATGGGTCTTCAATCACAGTGTTGTGTCCACCATCTTGTAAATTGTTGTTTTCCTGCAGATATTCCTATATCTGAAGAGTCCAGGCTTTGTGCTGTTACTGAGCAACAGGGCAAATGATTAGGCTGTTAAAATCAGATTACTGATAGCTAACAATTGCTATCAGTTCTTCTTCCATTCTGACAATTAAAATTGTCCTAAAAATGAGAGTCAGCTTCAAAGCTTTCAAACTAGGCTGTAAAAGCATATCCTAGACAAAAAGGATCGTATAAAAAAATCAGGTCCCAAGAAATGCTTCTCAGCTCCTTGTCCTCCTACTTACTAAAATAAAATTATCTTTTTTCTTTTCTAGAATGAGGTTTCCATGTTGAAAAATGAGGTAGCACAGCTGAAACAGTTGCTGTTAACTCATAAAGACTGTCCCATAACAGCCATGCAGAAAGAATCACAAGGATACCTAAGTAAGTGTTATCTGATAGTATATACTAATAGTAGATTTCCTTTTTTCAGCTCACCTTGATACCTGAACAAGTATTTAATACATCATGGCTATCAAGTAAAAGACACATAAGTATAAAAAGAATTTATTGGAGGCATCTCAAAAACTTTGATATCTCTAAAACTATCTTAAGGATTTTGGAAGCCACTACCAAAGTTAATTAGTTATTTATTTAACCATTACTAAATATATCATAGAAGCAATTTTTTTAAAAAAAAAACAAATATAGTTTTTAAAACATTAACAGCACAGAGGCCATAAAAATAAGAAATAAAATAAGTATTATGTTTAATAATTATTATTGGCTTAATAAAATATATTATTTAACTAATGCTTAGAAAACATAAAATAAATTCCAAATTTCAGAATGGATATTGACAATTTTCTCTAAAACACCATTAATGTGAGATGTAAAATTTTTCTATAGTTATTTGTCTCTATTTCTACTGCATAACTCTGTATAGGTAGTCCTCGACTTACGACCACAATTGAGCCCAAAATTTATGTTGCTAAGTGAAAAATTTGTTAAATGAATTTTGTCCCATTTTATGACTTTTCTTGCCACATTTGTTAAGTGGAACCACTGCAGTTGTTAAATTAATAACACAGTTCTTAAGTGAATCTGGCTTTGCCATCGACTTTGCTTGTTAGAAGGTCGCCCAAGGTAATCACATGACCCTGGGACATTGCAACCATCATAAATGTGAGTCAATGTCAAACATCCGGATTTTGATCATGTGGCCATTTGGATGCTGCACTGGTCATAAGTGTGAAAAACAGTCACTAAATTAACTATTGTAAGGAGTACTTGTATTGAGAACTTTTATTGTGCAGTGAATGTGTTTTTTATGTATACATACACAATATGCAGACGCACACATTCATGCACATATACATAAACAAAACATACACATTTATAAGGTTTGCCTAGTGTTAAGGCACCAGGCTAGAAACCAGGAGATTAAAAGTTTCATTAAGAACTCTTCATGAGTAGGTGATTTTGGACCAAACACTCTTCTTCAGCCCAAAATGTCAAACTCAGATAACAAGCCAGTCAGTCAATTCCTGTCACAACCAATTAATCAAAATTTGGTTGATCCAAAAAAATAAATAAATCAGGCACTGCACTTGCAGAAAAAATATAAGAAAGCATACCATGCTATAATTGAGGGATAAAACATTGAAATATTAAATATTAGATAAACTAAAATTAAGTAAGCTTTCAATCAAAATATTATGGGGTGAAGATTGCATTTTCTTCCTAGTCCACTAACCACCTCCAACATGGAAAATCCCATTCAGGGCCCCAAGCCAGTTGGCAGAGCCAGGTTTTGAGGCTCTTCCAGAAGGACAAGAAGGTGAGGGCGTATCTTACCTCAAGGGATGCAATGTTCAAGAGGCAGGAGCCATACCTTACTTTCAATAGGATGAAAGAGCTTTTTAACATTAGAGTCTGCATTTGAAATCTGAACTGCTACAGTCGATATACATATTTATACTATCCACAAAAACTAAGCCACAAGTTCAGTTGCACACCTAAAATGCAAAAAATGAAAGTTATATACAGTAATATAACTGTTAGTGTATATATTGTCATTGTCATGAGACAAGGCTATGAGTAGAGTAATTGGAAGGAGACCTGGTTTTGCTGCTTTATTAAGAGTGACCTGCCCCTCAGCTGAAATTCAAAATAAAATAGTTCTGGGGAAAAAAAAACTTGCTGCTGCTCCATCTTCTCTGCATCTGCAGAGTGACAACCTCTTCTACTTCCAGAGACTGCTCTTCTCATGGCGGAGCCCAACTGGGTTTCCTAGGGATGGTGCAGCAACTCCAGTAAAGCCAGTTACTTCCAGATTTCCATCAACCATTTGGTGTAGGGGGGATCCGGAATTAGCACTCCCTTCCTTTCCCTGCTTGGCATCATTCAGAGTCCTATCAAAAGGCTTGAAAAGGAGACACAACAGCATGGACAGAAGAGGCAAAGTACTCAGTATTTCGCTGGAGCAGCCTTGACTACATGACTCATATTTCCAAAGGAGATGATACTTCGGTTAATGCAAGTAGCATTCTGCTGACTTACTACTTACACTGAGGTATCTTTCCATTATTTAAAAGTGCTATATGCAGACATAGCTTAAAGTAGAAATGTAGTATCCATAATATGAAGACAGCTCTACAGATTCCTTTATTTATGTTATTCCTTAATTTTAGAAGTTGCTCTAATTTTAATAACAGGTTTTTTGCAGCTAAACATTTTATATTGCAGTCTGCTTCCTCAATTATTTGCTCTACTAAAAAAAAAATATTATTTTTTTCTACCTGGAATGAATCTTTTTTTTCTCCTCTGTGCAGGTCCTGAAAATAGTCCTCCTTCTAGTCCAGGTCCAACCTGCTCACAAAAACAAGTCATTCAGCAGAATACCATTACTACTTCCTCTGCCGTCGGTGATGTTGGAGGCTCCACTCTCAGTCAACTTGCAAGCCATCAAAAAGACATGAACCCAGTCCTTTAAAATTGAGTAATCAAGCAACTGTGATGATAAATATGATGACCTATCAGGTTTATTTTCTGTTAAAGGCATTGCCTTCTCAAGATTATTTCTGATCTGAAGGACTCTTCAGCCCCAAAAGACTTATGAGCTTGATTTTTTTAGTTATTAAACAATTGTTTATGCTTAGTAATAATAAAGGGATTTATGCAATGATTATGCTATCAGCTTGGGAGATGCTTGGTGCTTTCTCTAATTTTCTGGTACCAGTTTCTTCTTTATTTGTTTGTAACCAAACTGCTTCTGTACATAGCCATGGTCCTTCTCATCATTGCTGGTTGGCACCATCGAAGCATCTTATAACAGTATCATTAGCCAAAAACTGAAGCCTAAAAAATACGAAACAGCCATACACTTGTTGACAGTGCAATAAGTACATGGTTTTTCAGCTCCATTAAACTCTCAATCATACTTGTAACTTTGCAAATCATTATTCTGCTTTGAAAATGTTTCTATATCTGTGGGAGTTACAGCCTAGGGGGTTCTGCGGTCAGAACCTATTGAAACTGATTTCAAAACAGTTTAAAAGTATTCAATATTTTAAGTGTCCTTAAAGGAGGAAGTGAACCCAATTTTTCTCAACCTGTTTTTAGAAAAAGGGTTTAAGTGTGGACAGAAAGGATGTGCATGTCTGGAGATTGTTTTTCAATATCATAAGCCTTTTGCTTACCAAATAGTTATGGTTTTTTGCCTACCACCAGGATATTTGTGTAAAAATGAAACATTCATGCAAAACATGAAACCCATACTTAAATTGAATATAGGTTTTGAGCTTCTGTGGAGTTTTATGTTTTTTTCCTTTTTGTGATTTTCCTCTGCACTTTTCATTTCCCCTTATAAACCATGTAGTTGTAAGTCTTCTTTTACAAAGTCTTTATGGTATTGCATACTAAAATTCTTGCTTTTTGCTGCTTGCACAGTTTCTATTTAACATTGAAAATGCATTGACATTGATGAAAAGCCCTGCAGATTCACCAGCTATTTTCTCAGAAGTATTTACTAGTTCACACTTCTAGCAGCCTCTTCTCCACAGCTGTGTGAGATTTTTATTTTCTCTGAAACACTTTTTATAATCCTAATAGGGTGTTTTAATAAACAGCAAAGGTTGAAAGCAGTTTTACCTCAGGTAAAGCTACTGATGGTATCACAGTGCTGGAAGCCTTGTAAAATTGTTGCTGTAAGAATCCATAGCACTGAAAATAGTAAACATCACTCTATAGTACTATGCTCTTTGTTAGCAAGAAAGTTGCAAGAATTGTAGATTGTAAGATTGTCACCAAATTGAGTTTACTCAATATCTTAAGTCAATATGGTTGGTTGGTTGATTTTGGGTTAACATTTTCTGTAAACCCAGCCATTAAGTCTTGTAAGGAATAATTTAGCACACAATATTGTGTGAACCCAGTTGGTTTGGTTCATTGAATAAATTATGATCTTGCAAATAAAATAACAAAGGAAACCACAGAGAACAATCTGCTTGCGCTTAAGTAACTAAATAAATTGTGCAGATCAGTGACACAATGCCCTGTTATCACATGTGTAAGTAAGAGTGGGTAATAGCACGGGAAAAGCAGAGGAAGGGGACCCTTATTCTCATACCCTACCTCTAATTAGCTTGGGAAAGAGGGTGCTTTAAAATCAATAATTGGGAAAAGGTATTTCTTATGAGATCCTAATTAGATCTTCTTTATGGTATAAGATTCAAAGTTTTCACATTTAACCTTTCCAAATAAAACCATTCAAAAAATTGTTATACCAACTCAGAATTCAGAATTGAATAATTTCCTAAAATTAAAGATTGTCCAAAACAAAACTTGAGCTACCCTAAATCTAGATCACCTGTTTTAAACAATGGGCTGACTTACTTACATAGGAAGTTTTCAGTGATATTAAGATGATGCAGTTCCAAATAAAAATTTTCCAAAAGATATTTAAAAACCACCCAGCTGAATTTCAAGTCATGAAATTGATCGTTTTGAAAAGTGAAATAATCCTTGATAATAATACCAAGACTATTTTATACTTGACCTCAGGTTGAGAATTGCACTTTGACCAGGATTAAATATCAGATTAACTGGTTATTTGCATATATTTTTAAAATATTATGATATTTTTTAAAAAATGCATTTTAGGAAAACTAAACAATATTGTAGCAGCTGGGACCAACTCAAATAACACTGCTATTTTTAATCTATCTTTCCCTTTTATAAGAGTTTGCCAATTAAAACATTACAGTATAATATTAATAAGATGTTAGTATTTTGTGTATGCTAACGGATACAACTGATACAAACGGATTTTACAGCAGAAGGAAGGTATTGGAAAATACAAGGAAATGAATTTTCAGTAGAAATTAAATAGGTTTGAAAATTACTGTGATTTTTTGGGGGGTCAAAATTAAGAAGATATAAATAAACATATAACTTAATTGCCCATTGTAGATTCCAATTCTGCTAAAATTAGTTGTAACAAAGTTGCATGAAATCAGTGGAATCATGTTTGTTATAGCACTATACTCTGACTCCTTTCACAGGAATATGCAGCCTAAATCCCTTGTGAATTTCAGTTCTGCAGTGAACAATGGGCTCTTTTCCCAAATAAATGTGTCTATAACTGTGAATTAAAATTGCAGATCTGTAAGCTTTATAGGTTTGGATAAGGCTTAAGACCCATCTGCAAGCAGAGTTTTCTAAAGGAGCTAAAGAAAGTTCCACAAATATTCAACTGCCAGATCTGGGCTAAAAAAGCCAGATGAACTACCAAAAAAAAAAAAAAAAAAGAATTATAAAAAAAAAACCACTAGAAGTCAGCAAAAAGATAAAGAAAAGAAATTCACTTTTTTGCAATGTGGTAGTAGTATGATCTTCTATTTGCAGGGTTTCTTCATGAAATGTTTAAAAATAGAGTTGAACAGGCTGAGTTCAGAATTTTTTATGCCTTCAAAAATCAAACTTCACTAATATGCCAACCTGTAATCTGGCACAGCTATTGCTAAAAAATAAAAACCCTTGAACTTATTCCCACATAACACTTGTCATCCCCTTTTTAATTTAGAATTGTCCTTAGAGAAGTTAATAATTTACTGGTTTACTGGGACTAAAATGCCAAGACTTAAGGCAGCTTTGGGGTTGTTGTTGGTTTTTTTTTTTTTTTTGTCTTTTACAAACTAGTAAAGTACAAATAGTTATAAAGTATACCTTTTTTAAAAAGAGGCAATATAAATACTGAAAAGTTTAGGGTTCTTTTTTAAAGAAGAACAACGATAGAAATATCAAAAACATAAGCCTTTTATTATATTACATTATTTAATGCTAATGATCCAATACCTATAAAATATCAATGGCTGTGAAGAAATTCTGTTGAAATATAGAACTTTGAAAACATAGTCACCATATTGATTGATTTTTTGCATTGCTATAAATGCAAAAGAGTTCTGTACATAAACAATTTTGCTGTTTAATTTAATGGAGTGAGCACTACAGCACAATCTATAAGGGAATCTGTAGATAATACTACTCCTTCTATTGAAATGAATGGTGCAGCACAATGGGCAGCCATTGCATGTGAAAAAATACTTGCACATGGGTGTTTGAATTGGGAAAAACTTTCTTGAAACAACTGTATGTATCATTATATTATTCCCACAGATTGTAACATACAGAGCTGACGATGCAAAAAGTTGAAGGTATTTTTGCCTTCAAGCCAGTAATTCAGTGATGTGCACGTATAAAATGCATGGGCTCAACACTTAGGCCGCTGTTCATCTTAAAATGAATGTTTGCCTTCTCCCCTTATCAGACTACTTCTTAAATATTAAAGAAAAGTGAAACAAAAGAAGCAAGTTCTGTATGTATGCCCAGTAACTCAACTGAAGTTACTAAAGAGCTCAACAGCGCTTGAAACATTAAATGATTCTGTGCAAGAGATTTCAAAAGCTCAAATGTTCTTCATTATGTTTCTCCGCTTCTCCCACTCCTGGGCAGAGTAAATTTCTGGCAAGCTGAAATTTCTCACATCCTTATTTCAAAGAAGGTACAAGGCACAGCTACCTTGGACTATTGCACATAATATTTCTTAGATCAAAAATAGAACATAATGCCATGTATTTTCCAAGCTAAACATCAAATCACTGCTGTACATATAAATACTGTTACCTCCAGTATGTAATACCTGTAAATTAATACAGAATATCCCTCCTTTGCACTATATTCATCCTTGCTTTATTATAAATGTCACTAAACTGTGTGGCAAAGTTACTTACTCTTGGAATCTAGACTTCAAGTACTTCTGAATTTTCTTATTTAGGAGAATTCTGTCTCATCTTCAGACATCTGCCTGACAATCATATAAAGGCAGAAAGAAAAAGAAAGGAAGGAAGGAAGGAAGGAAGGAAGGAAGGAAGGAAGGAAGGAAGGAAGGGTGTTAATTTGCATATTTCCAGTGATAAAACTAATTAACTTATTCACCATTTTAGTTCCCTGCCTTTTTAGTTCCCAGCTTTGTATCTTAAGTAAAATAAACTCACCCTTTCCCCAAACATATAGATTTGAGTTCAAAACAGCTGAATAATATTAGATGCCATCAAAGATTTACATTTTTGGGTGTTTGTTTGTTACCATGTTAAAGTTGCTTGAAGTTCTGTGGCTCAGATTTGGCAGCCTTGCCCATTTTACTGAGGAGAGAATGAGGTCCAATTACACAAAAACTGAAACTGGATCTTGCTGTCTGTCCAAAAAGTCAATTAAATGTAAAATACAATGAGAGGAGGAAAAACCTCCAAACACTGCAAATTGCAATATTTATCAAAAAGGGCTGGATTGCAATACAAAATATCTATGCTACATAAGCTTTTCTGCAAGCCATATTTCTATATTGTAATCTAAATGACATTTACTTTAGACTATTTATTATGATAATGGTGAGCTTTTATTGCATGATTCTGCATTTTTTGTAAAAGTGTGCAAGCCATTAAAAAAAATAGGAAGTGAATGGCAAATAATCAAAAGCAAACATTTCAACATAACCGCTTTTCTCTTTACTAACAAGCTAGCTATAGCTGTAGGGTGAAATCTATATTTCTAAAATAACAATATTTACTATATGGTGAGTATATATCTGTATTTGTGTTTTTATAAAAAGTCTTTTAATTGTCTTCTGCATTTTAGCCAACATTTTTCCTATAAAACAAAAGAAAAAGAAAAAAGTATACCTTGGATTTATGCAAACTAATGAGGACCAAAGTGAAATTAAAATAACAACAAAAATACCCAAACCAGGAATCTATTAAATGTTGTATTCACAGAGAATTTTATAAAGTATTTATTACTAAATGTTATTTTTAACATTCCATTTAAACAGTGTTCTTCTACAGAATCTGTTTATATTTTTCTGGGTTACTTTGGGAGTAATCACCAAGTGGTGATTGTGTGTCTTCACTGGTGATTTATAGCCTCAGGCAAGCCTCATCGAAATTAAAAAACAGGTTGGCAGTAGTACATCTCAGTGAATTCCCCATTAAGGTTACAGTGCACAACTCTCAGTATAAGTGTATGTAATATATAAATATATATAAATATAAATACTCTACATAAATACTTAAGAGTGATTTTTGTATATCGCCAGCAGGAGTTACTCATCCTAGATAACTACTGTTGCTGAGATATGCTTCCTGAAATTATCCAGATTTCAGTTCTGTTTTCTCTGATTTTCGTTTTATCTTTTCTCAGAGCAGCATCTACTTTCTGTAGCAACCAAAACAAACAAACATATTGTTCTTTTGTTTTTTTGTTGAAGATGTACAAGGGCTGTTAAAGAGAAATAACCTATATACTTGCAAAGCTGCCTATTAAAAGCAAAGGAGATCCTGCCTGATGCTTTACTTTTTTTTCTAATATTACCAGTGAGTTGCACTAAATCACCTTATCAGTTCCTCTTGTTTTCATAACAGTCTTCAGCAGCTTTAAAGCATTTTAAAGTTCCATTGTAAATAATATCAGATTGGACAACATGTTGCCAGGATGATAGAGACAGGAAATAAAGATTTAATTCTGTTCTAACATTAAAACAGTGTCTAGAAAATGGAAACTATTGCAACTGATTAGCAATATATTACATTTCAATTATTATTATTTGAAAATTGCACTTCAGCCATTTCTCCTACAATATTATATAAAATATTATCCAGTAATACATATGTGAAATGGTGGCATGTTTACCTTTATCTCACTAGCTCTGAAAGAATTTTGCTCTGAGACTGGAACAGGAAAAACATAAACAATGTTCAAACTTTTCTCCTACTTATACTTTTTGTGTAAGCCATAGAATAAGAAAGAAAATTATGTGCACAATAAACCTTACTGATTTTGTACCACTTTAAATGAGAAGGGATTCCTCAAATTTGTAAATTTTGGGAACTGAAATTTGTTGAGAAGCTAAAAGGCTCTTTTATATAAGTCACTAGTGACTTCCTTCTTTCCCTTGCTAGGAACTATAGCAAGTGGGTATTTAATGTGTATAAATTTCTGTTGCCTTATTTTCCATCAGACTCCTCTGTAGAGACAATAAAGCTACTTTAATGCTGCTAGTCAAATTTTTTAATCCATATAGTCTTTAAGCAGCCTACAGATATTTGACTGAAATATGTGGGCCTTGATCTGACTAGAGATGTACAAGATTGTGTGCTAAGATCACAATACCTTCTAGTTCAACCTTCCCACTGGTGTACTTCACCTATCTAACTGATGGAATTTCTCATAAAGCACAGAGAAGTCTAATTAATGGGAACAGCAACATTAATTTTTGAGAGATCCTTGGTGCTTTCTGAGCTTGCTTGTTTTCTTGCAGAAGTTTCATTACCCTAACTAGGTAACAACATCAGTGCTAGTAAGGAGTGTAGTTTGCTGTCAGTTTATATTCTGGTGCCTGGCCTGTCTGGGTGGGTGGGGGTGGCCTTAGGGATTCTTTACTTGGGCTGTTTACTAATGGCTCTTCCACAGTTTCTTTTTTTTATTTAAAAGTTTTATAAATTTATTACAATATAAACCCCCCCACCCTTTCCCCCCTCCCCCACTTCCCAGAGCTGATTACAAGATAAAAAATAAAATAAACAAACATAATCTAACTAACATTAACCAACTATGCTATCAATCAAAAACATAACACACTTTAACTCCTTCTCCCAACAAATATTAACAAATTAAGTCAAAAATAATAAAATAATTAAAACTAATAATAATTATCTAAAATCTACTCAAAAGCAAGATAATACTTTTCAATCTCATATTTCTTCTGAATGTAATTAATCCATCTTCTCCAAACCATAATATATTTTCTTGTGAATGATCCTTCAAATAGGCGAAGATTTTTGCCATGTCTGCTAAATTAGACACTTTGAGTATCCATTCTTCCAAAGTAGGCAATAAGTTTTTCTTCTAATATTGCCCCACCAATAATCTTGCAGCTGTTATAAGGTTCAACATCAGATTAGTTTCTTTAACATCAAAATCTACAATAATACCCAACAAAAACAATTGCGGAGTAAACTTTATCTTTCTCTTAAAAATCTTTTGAATATTCCACCAGATCTTAATCCAAAAAGCTGATGGAGGTACCTCTGCTCCACTCTTCCACAGTTTCTTGATTGGGGTATTGCTTACTTGATTGTTGGTCTAAAGTTGATCCTTGAGCTAATCTATGCTGACCTGAGTGCTGAGTATTAGTAGGGAGGTGCTGGAGTCTTTTTCTCTTTGGGGCTGGTGATTGTCTCTTTTGCATGTCTATAGATGTTGTTAATGTCTATGTGTCTATTGATGGCTGATTTGTCAGAATGCCAGGCTTCTAGAAATTCCCTGGCATTTTTGGATTTGGCCTGGTCTAGGATTGTCACATTTTCCTAATTGAAATTATGGTTAAATCTGTCTGCATGTTGTGAAATTAAATAAGTTTTGTCATGTCTTTTGACTGCCAGTTGGTGTTAATGGATGCATTCTCCCAGTCTTTTGTCTGTTTGTCCTATGTAATGGTTGTTGCAGTTCTTACGTTGTATGTTGTAAATGACTCCTGTTTTTTCTTCTGGGGTTGTAAGGTTGATGTTTAGTTGGCTTGTGTGCTACCTTGATTTCATGTGGTTGTAGTAATCTGGTTGTGGTTTCTGATATATTCTTGATGTTTGGCAGTGTAATTCTTTTTAGGTTTATGTTGGTTGTGCTATATTGGGTTGACTAGTCAGGGACATTTTGATGAAGTTGCATGGGTATCCATTTTGTTGGAATGTATTGTATAGATGCTCCATTTCCTTTTTTTGCTGCTCTGGGTTGCTGCAGTGTGTTTGGGCTTGTTTAAATAAAGTCCTTACACAGCTTCTCTTGTGAGAGGTTGAGTTGTTGCTTTGGTAGTGATTAATATGGATAGTTTTTCTGTTAACACAAGCCAGCTAAAGCCCTTCAAAACATCCTAAGTAAAACAAAAGACCCAGCAACCTCAGAAGAAAAAACAGGTGTCATCTACAACATATAACATAAGAAATGCAACAATCACTTTGTAGGATAAACAGGCAGAAGTCTGGCAGAACACATCCATGAACACCAACTGACAGTCAGAAGGCATGATGAAAATTCTTTAATTTCATAACATATATACAGATTTAACCATAATTTTAATTGGGAAAATGTGACAATCCTGGACCAGGCCAAATCCAAAAAAGCCAGGGAATTTCTAGAAGCCTGGCATTCTGACAAATCAGCCATCAATAGACACATAGGTATTAACAATATCTATACTATGGAAAAGAGACAATCACTAGCCCCAAAGAGAAAAAGACTCCAGCACTTCTCCACCAGTAATCAGCACTCAGTTCAACTTTAGATCAACAGTCAAGTAAGCAATACCTCAATCAAGAGATTGCCAAGAGCCGTTAGTAAACAGCCAAACAAAAGAATTCCTAAAACCGCCCCATCCACCCACCCACCCACCCACCCACCCAGGCAGGCAACAAACCAACAGCAAACAGCACTCCTTACTACCGGTAGCAGTGATGATGTTATCTAGTTAAGATAATGAAGCATCTGCAAGCTCAGAGAGCACCAAGGACCCCTCATTTCAATCCTGAGCTACAAATATTCTCCTTCATTGATAACTTTAATTTTTAAACAATCTAATTAAAAGGGTTATTTTATTTAAAACAATAAAATCTGATAGTAAAATGAAGCTAGGTTCAGGTTTTTTTGTTTCAATTCCAGTATGGTTAAGGCATCAGGCTAGAAACCAGGAGACGATGAATTTCTGGGTAACCTTGGGCCAATCACTCTCTCCAACCCTAAGAAGGAGGCAATGGCAAACCACTTAAAAAAAACCTTGCCAAGAAAACTGCAGGGATCTATCTAGGCAATCTCTGAGATTCAGACACAATTTTTTTAAAAAAAAAAATGTTCTCAATGGTTCATATTTGATCATCTTAAGATAACTAATGGATGTTTTCTTGATTTTACAGTCTGCTACGTTGAATTCTAACCCATGCTAGAAGAAATACCTATTTATCAACACGAATGTTGGAAGAAATAGGATCTGAAAATGCTAACATTTTCCTATCTCTATAAACCACTTAAGTGGGTTAGAGTTGGCAATGTGCATCCAGCATGTTTCTGTAAAGCAGAGAGATCAATTCTCCTGAGTGTAAATCTGAGTCCTTTCCAAGTTTTCTTTGGATAACATTTTGCTTGAATCTGATTACATAAAACACATATAACATGTGGAATATGCCATCTGTAGCCTCTTGTTTTATTGAAACAAACATGTCACATTATGTTTTATGAAGCAGCTCTCTTTAAAAATCATGTTATTGTTCTGCTTATGTCAAATCACAGTTTTATTGTGTTAAATTTCAGGTCTGTTCTGTTGCAGGTTGTTTTCAAGTAGTTGTAAAATCAATCATTATAGCATGGATTAAAAATTGCAGTAAAGAAACATTATTCTGATTATTTTTCAAGGCTCCCTTATTGCAAACTATGGAAATAAAGCAAAAAGTAACTGAATTTCTATCAATTCTATCATGCTTTTTTCATGAATATACTGTATGAACAATTTATCTTTTTGTTTTGTTTTCTACCCAGAAAAATTCATAAATATCGGAGAGAAATTGAATATATTCTTTTTGTAAAAAAATCTTTTCATAAATTAGTTTTTATCACC